CGCACGGGCCCACCTCGTCAGCCTCTCTCTCTCTCTCGCTCGTCCGCACCACGGGCGCTGACGCTGCTGCGGCTGCGCTTCTCTCTCTTCCTCTTCCCCACTACTACTTATTACTGGACCTTATTAATTAATTAATAAATAACTATATATGTAAAAGAAAAAAATGCGTTGAAAATATTGGAGTCGTCATCGGGCAACGTGAGAGCGAGATCCTCGTACGGTCGAACAAAAAAAACACATGCAAAGCCTATTTTTTTCAACGTAGAACGTGGAGCTCCTTTTCTTTTATATATCATATATATATATATATATATATATCACATATATAATATTCTTTTTCCTGGTTCGGAAAAAAGGCAGTCGGCATTTGGGCACCAGTCATTTGGGCACGAAATTAATAAAAAGGCAGTCGGCGACGGTGATGTGCAGGATTGCAACGTTTTTGGTTTCAGATTACTGCAGGAGACGCGGGGGTGGTGGTGCGTCGCTGCTTGACAACGCCGCACCGGGGCATTGTCGTGTCTGCATCCGTCCGTCGATCGCGTCAGCAGCAGCAGGAGGAGGAGGAGGCACCAGCTACATAGCCCGTCCCCTGCATGGTAATCCATATTCCTCCAGTTTTTCCAAAATCCTTACCCGTCCTTCACTTCCATTCCACGCCCCCCCCTCTCTCAATTCGTTCAGTATCGGCAGGTATACATCGTTGACATTAACAAGCAAGCATCCTCGCCTTTTTATCTTCATGCATGGGTATGAAAATCTCTTTTGGTACGGACCACAACAGATGCCCTTTCTGAATTGACTAAAATAAGTTGCTAGCTACCGGCTAATAAAAGCTCTAGCTGATCCAACCAACTCAGCTTAGAGGCTCTATTTAGCAAATTGGAACGGCTTAACTTAAAGAAGAGCCCGTTTTTCTTTTTCCTGTTCAGTTCCTAGTGCACATTTGGGCACGAAATTAATAAAAAGGCAGTCGGCGACGGTGTTGTGCAGGCTTGCAGCGTTTTTGGTTTCAGATTACTGCAGGAGACGCGGGGGGTGGTGCGGTCGCTGCTCGACAACGCAGCACCGGGGCATTGTCGCGTCTGCATCCGTCCTTCGCGTCATCAGCACCAGCAGCAGTAGGAGGAGGCACCAGCGTCTAGCTACCTCCTCCCCTGCATATGGTAATCCATATTCCTCCAGTTTTTCCAAAAATCCTTACCCGTCCACTTCCATTCCACGGCTCCCCCTTTCAATTCGTTCAGTATCGGCAGGTATACACATCTTTGACATTAACAAGCAAGCATCCTCGCCTTTTTATCTTCATTCATGGGTATGGAAATCTCTTTTGATACGCACCACAACACATGCCTTAATTAAGCCCTTTCTTGAATTGACTGAGATAAGTTGCTAGCTAGCGGCTAATAAAAGCTCTAGCTAATCCATAGAACTCAGCTTGCTCTGTTTGGAAAATTAAAACCGCTTAACTTATAAAAGAGCCTGTTTTTCACCGGCTTCCCACAACAACCACACTTACTACAAAAAGCTCGAGCAAAAAAAAAAAACTAATCATTTTGTAAGTAGCTTTTCTTCTCCTATTCACATGCCAGCTTCCATGGCCCGATCTCGTGGATCACAGTGATGGAGATGAAGGACAACTTGTGGGCGGCAGCCTCAAGAGCGGAGGGTGGTAAAGGAGGAGGGGGTGCCGACTGAAGGGGGAGGTGTCAGCGGTGATGGAGAGGCGCTAGCCGAAGGGGAGATAGCGGCAGCGAAGGGGGCACTGGGTAGAGGGCAGGTGGTGGGGACGGAGGCGCGTCCACACGGGTATGAAGAGGATGCATTAGTGGCAAAGGACGGGGCATCGGTCGATGGAGGCATTAGCGGTGACGGAGGGGACATTGGCCGGAGGGGGAGGTGGCGCAGGAGGAAAGGGGACATTGGTGGAGGAGGGTCGAAGGTGGTGCGGAGGAAGGCGGTCTGCACGTCCCCAAAGAGGAGGCGTCAGTGGCAGAGGATGAGGCGCACGACTGAAGGGGAGGGGGATTCCACATAAGGGGAGGCAATGTTACTTCGATACACCAGTTAGCTTCTAGAGGAAAGATATTAGAAAAAACACAGCCATTAATTATTTTTTTTTAAAAAAAGATGGGACAATTAAATACTCTAATGTGAATAAAGAATTTACTAGGACCTCAGCATCCCTCGCAGCAATAACTATCTTCTGTCACCTCCTTTTCTTGTTTGCACTGACATGTGTTGGGTAAAGAAAAAGGAAATCTTCCTCCTTCCTTGTTCAGTCCGCACGTGGATAAATATCTTTTTGCACTGACTAGAGTAAGTTTTTTGAGTTCTAAATCAAGAGTATGACAAAAGGCATAGAGACAATTTCATTCCTACTTCCCAAGTCGTGATCAAAACTCTGAGGAACTACACCCCTTTGTCTTTTCGTTACATCTAAACACATGTCAGGACAGAGTTCTATGTCATGTTACATCAAATAGGAAATTTAGATCATGCACGTATATTAGAGCTAATATGGACATGGAATGTTTTCCTATTTCTTCTATTACTCTTATTAAGAGATAATATGTGATACTCCCTCCGTCCTAATAAGATATCAAAGATCCAAATTCAAAACTTTACAAAGTACAAGGTATTCTAGCTAGGTTCTCAACCTCCCTCTCCTATGTCTTTTTGGCATCAAATACTTAGATTTCTTTTAAACTTGATATTAACTAAAACAGCCAATGTAACTAAGGAAAGTGCAATTGAACTACTCTCTCCATCTTATTTAATGAGGGGGCAAGATGGTCTTTTACCAGGTTCCTTATTTTGTCTGAAAATCACCTCGATACCTTATATATTTTAGGATGAAGGGAGTAATTGACATCTAGATTGATAATCCATGATCATTTTGGAGTAATATAGCAAAGCCCAAACTAGTTAAGTTCATTTTGTCACCATCAAGCATCAGATGCTGCATCAAAAAAATGTTTTCAGGCACTCGATCAAGGCACCTTTCGACAAGGTCATATAACCAACCATCGGTGCGGTGAGGGACCCCCGCCCCTACAATTTTGGGCCGCATGTGGACACACATTTTTATAGATGGATTCTTAGACGAGCCACCACTGGTTTTCATCCTTACTACAAGTGGTTCACACAATAAGCCACATGTGAATGATGCGGGGACCTAAAATTTCAATTAAACTCAGGTGGTATTCATGTCCAATACACCCCTTAAAATTCCTAAATCATGGACACTTTTGCACGTCTATCCGGTGGTCTTCACCTAGCTCGTGCGTGGCCACGGTGAGAACTGCGAGGTGGTCCATGGCAGATGTTCACATTTGTTCTTTGTCCATCTATTCCTTGATGTAAAGTCGGTCTGTTCTTGTCTCTTACAATTTTTGATGGATCAATCAATCTATCTAATAGCTAGTAGTATGTGTTATGAAGTTGATGATATGGTAATATATACATGCTATATTGTCATGCATCTCTATGCGTGTTTGATGGATCCAAAAGTTAGAAATATATGGCTGATATGAGATACTTTGCTCTGTGAAGCAATTTATATATTTAATTGAGATATGATTTGATTAGTGTTAATTATGGGTAGAATTTGCCAACGACAACTAGGTTATTTTCTTTACATATTTATTTAAATATCCGATTACCACAGGCGGTCCATTTGAAGAACCGCCAATAGAGAAGAAATTACCATAGGCGTTCCTTGAATGGATCGTCATATATTTTCACAGGCATTTGAGCCATCGAAAACCATTAATTTCCACAAAACCTTCGAATAGATGTTGGTGGCTAATAAATGCCTATAGAAATAGGGTACCACCTATAACTGAAAAAGAAAGGGGGCGTGTTTGCTTCATGACTTCCCAAGCAAGCTGCCCGCCAGGCAGCGATCCTGCGTCTAGACGCCGAAAATCAGACGCCTAGGAGCAACGCCGGCGCTAGGCAAGCTTGCCTTAAGGATTAGCAAACAGACCCAAAATTTATGTACAAGTGAAATTGGGGAAAATATATGGTGACTAAGATTTGAGTGCTTGTTTATGCCCCTACACAATTTTAGAAGACTATGGGTTTTATTTACAGAGGCGAGTAATTTTTTACCACCTCAAGAAATCTTCTATAAGCCCAATAGTCTGTCCCCGCCCTATCTAGTAAACACATTTTCAAAGGTGGGCCATTTAAGAAGGCCATCTCTGTAAATTGAGCTATTTTCATAGGTTGACGCCCCCACACCTGAGCCGACGCCTCCTGCTCGTGCGCCAACGATGTGGATCTAGAGGGCCAAGTGTTGCTCGTGCGTGGATCTAGAGACGGGGTGATGATGTAGGATTGAGCAGTCATCGATCGAGTTGGCGGCAGGAACAAGCACTACTGGAAACTCGCATTCTTCTGTACGTGCGAAAACACACAGCAAAATACGAATATCGTCAGAAAAATATTTTTCGACGGTGTATCCTAAAAAAAATACACACGGAAATATAATGATGTAAAAAATTCAATTGTTCTATGTGTTCGCCGTCGAAACAATTTTTACATCGGTCTTACACTTACACAAAAAATTGTGTTTGGCCCGATTAAAATAAAATTTCTGTGAGGATATCTACACAGAAAAAAAGAAATAAACACACGAGAAAATCGTGTATTTTTACATCCGGTCTAAAATGAACTCACGGAAAAATTCCTTTCGCCCAAATTAAAAGTAATTTTACTGTAGCCATCCTCACGAGAAAAAAGAGTTAAGCATACGAAAAATAATTTATTTTGAAACAGTAGCATATTAAAATATATATTGTCTATACAGTAATTTCATGACACATCACAACATAATAAATACATTTATAGGTGTCTAAATGTTCAGCACATTCATAGGTACATAGATGATGTCCAAATGTTCCGGCATCAATACATTCAAAACCCTCAGACTAACCAAGATTCAGCTCTTGTTATTTCTTCATGCGCTTGTCCCTGATACTATTCAACTCTTGCTATACCTCTTTATTCTGCGGTTTGCCCCATTTGAAACTGAATAGAAGAAGACCTTTGCGCTTCCTAGGGGATGGTGTTTCTGGCTTTGGAAGGTCTTTCAGCAGAGAAGGTATTACAACATCTTGAAGCTTTGCAAGAGACCCAGACTTTCCATTGTAGAACTTGCATACCCCTTTCCTGACACATTAAGAATAATGATCAACAAAATGGAAGACTGATATGATTTTGAAAGATAATTTCTCATAACCAAGATAAAGCTAGTATATAAATTTAAGGACTGAACAGAGAGATTCCCCAGGCTGCTCACAATGAATAAACAGACAAATTAAGTTGCCAACCCCAAATCAAAGACAAGTAACTACATATTTTTATTGCTGTAGATAACAAACTAAGCACAACTTTGTTCCAGGTAGTAACTTGGCAGCTAACTTCCAGATGTCAAACTGCAAATCTAAGTACAGCAACATGAACACTAGACTGCATGGTTTTATATCAGCAATGCTTGTATCAGCACATCTACCATACACTAAGAAAAACACTAAAGACAGCTATGATACAAATCAGAGATCATCCTATCGAAGTCAAATGTTGAGAGAATCACACTTTGAGGTGCTATGCCAATTAGCGATTTCACAAAAAAACATCCAAATTATTGCTAAGAAATAAGGGATTTCAGCAGGATAGGCATGTAGACACATAAGCATAGTAGTATTGTCAATCTAACATACTCTTGCAAGTGAATAAAATAAGTTTCTAAACAGGCCATTTGACATTGCTAACCACCTTGCAAGTGAATCATACATATTCAAATCAGATTGTTATATGGCAATAAAATAAGCTCATATTTATCAAGTGCAAGCAGTCGGTTCTTACTACTGATTTTACAGTTTACAGTCCTATCAATAATGCCTACTTTCAATGCAATTCAGAGGCAAGGATAATGCTTGTTTAGTTCACAGTTTGAGCAGATATCAGTCAAGAAAATTATTGTTATCTTTGCCAACCTCTAAGGATTTTATAAAATGTACTCAGATCATGAAACCTACTCTTAATAATGTTCCAGATCTATATGATTGGCTATAGCATTTTACTTAACTTGTCACAACATACCTGCTACTGCTAGCCATTTCAGGTTCCAGATCTTGACTATAGCATTTCACTTATATGATTGGTTGTAGCATTTCACTGAACTTGTCACAACATACCTGCTACTGTTAGACCTTTTAGATTCCAGATCATGACCTAAAAAATGAAAATAGTAGTTAGTAGGAAATTTGGATGAATTAGCTAGCATGACATCAACTGGGTTTTCACAAGAATAACTTTCAGCTTTTCAACTTTTCAAACTGCACAAAACTATCCAAATCCAACACAGTCAAGGTAGTAGGGGTCTGCATGAACCATATAAAAGTTGTACATATTTAAATCTAGCTATAAGTACAAAGCAGCATGAACACTAGACTGCATGGTTTATATCAACAATACTTGTGTCCATTTCCTCTATCTTAGGTATAAGTGCTACTACAGACTTAAGTGCTATAAGTGCTATAGATTTAAATCTACCAATGATTCTAGTAAAAACACAGATCCAAATTTTACACAAAAGCTGGACTTTAGTAGACTTTTTAGCTACTGAAGTTTGCTAACTTTCAGTACTAAAGCGAGTTTTTCAACTCTTGAAGTTTGCTAACTTTCAATAAAAGCGAGTTTTCTCGGTTAAAACAAAAGGCATGAATTTGTACATCCTAGGCATTTTCTTCACTTCATACTGAGAGGTATTTATAGAATTCATCATTTACTTGTGTTTGTTACCTCGTTTTCCTTGGACCAAACAAGCTTAAGATATCTAGTATATTAACATGTTATGTAAGCATCGGTGTAAACACAACACTGCTAGAAAATGATATGTGAACTCGTAATGAAATGCACGCATAAGTTAAAATCGGATATACATCTAATCCATGGACCACAGAACATCTAATCCTCCACGAGAGGCACGCACATGCACCTCGGGAGAGTGGCAACACAATGGCGCCCCTCAAAGATCCATGCCACCACCTCCACCACCACCCATGCTGCCTCCCAGCAGCAGCATGCCCCTCCCTCCCGACGCTCGACGCAGCCACACCACCTCCCACGGTCCCATCGGCCTCCTGCGCCATCCTCCCTGCCGGCTGGATCGGGAGTTGAGAGAGAGGAGAAAAGCTCGTGAAACCCTAGATCCGGAGGAGGAGGAGGCCCACCTCGTCGGGGTCACCGTGCCACTGGATCTGCGCCGCCGCCACGTCGGGGTTGCCGCACCAGGGCCCATCTATGCCAACCTTTGCCGCTTTGGGGTCACTGTGTCTTGGCCACTGCAGCAAAGGGCCTCCGCCGCCGTCTATAAGCGCGTCCGCGCCGCCACGCCATTGGGAAAGGATGGGGCACCAGATCCAGGGAGAGGGCGCCGGATCCGTCGAGGGGGCAGCGGATCCGGTGAGGGGGGACACTGGGGAAGGAGGGGCCGCTAGGAAGGAGGGGGCGCGGATCCATGCCGCCACGCCACCGGGAAAGGAGAGGGCACCGAATCCGGGAGAGGCGTCGGATCCGCGAGGCGGCGGATCCGGCGAGGGGGGGCGTCGGGGAAGGAGGGGGCCACCGGGGAAAGGAGGGGCCACCGGGGAAGGAGGGGGCACTGGGGAAAGGAGGGGCCACCGAGGAAAGGAGGGGCATCGGATCCAGCGAGGCGACCGCCAGGGAAGGAGGGGCCACCGGGGAAAGGAGGAGCGGCCGGGAGAGGAGGAGAGGGAGGCGGCGTTGGCGGGGAGGGCGCAGGGGCCGGGAGGAGAGGGGAAGAGGCGGCTCAAGTGAAGGAGGCACTGGGGCCGGGAGGAGGGGGGGCCGGGGCGGGAGGAGAGGGGCGCTAGGGGCCGGGAGGAGAGGGGAAGAGGCGGCGCCAAGGGGGAGGGGCTGGGGGAGGGAGGAGAGAGGCGCCAATGGGGCCGGAGGAGAGGGGAAGAGGTAGGCTGTAGGTTTTTTGGGGCAGCGGTGGCATGGGTTAGGGTTAGCACTTCTTTCTTTTTATTTATTTTATTAATAACATTTTTCAGTGCGTGCATATATTTTTTCTATGCGTTTTAAAAAAACCGACAGAATAAATTGTATTTTTCTGTGAGTGCTTATTTTTCCGTGTGTCTATTGTCACGCACAGAAAAATTATAAAATTATTCTGTGGGTTTTCATATTTTTCTGTCGGGATATTTTGGAACCGACAGAATAATCATAATTTTTCTATGTGTCTTTTGGCAAAGCACGAAAAATTCGTCACCCACAGAAATATTCGAGTTTCCAGTAGTGAAGGGAGAGGGCCTGGACCTCTTCTACGTCGGTGACCGGCCCAAATTAGACGGTTGGATGGGCCTTTGCTTGATTTCTTAGTGTATGATCTGCATTACGCTTTCTCTGATGGCGTATTTTGACTATAATTCCATTGTATTCCAATGTAAGTCCTGCATAATAGTAATCGTGTAATACAAGTGGAACAATGTCAATAGTAAAGGCATATGTGTCAAAAGATTATTTATTTATCCCGTTTTGGACTTTATTTGGCGGTCGGATTTGGTCGTTAGTGACCGCCAACGAATCCCCCAAGCTTAACCTTTGCTCATCCCGAACAAATAGCTAAGTACTTGTTTGTTGATCAGGAGTTGCTACTATGCCGAATATATTTTCACAAGTGCCATGCCTATAACAAAGTATTCTTTCGTAATTTAAATAAGTCGGCATTTTTATCCTCCTTTTTTCTTGATCCCTGTGAGGCATATAGCTTTTCCAAGTTCTTGGGCGGTTGCAAGATAGAACGGCTATAAGAGAATCACCAATCATTCATTCCTTGATTAACCATCTATCCAGAGGTTTTATGAGTTTTGTAAAACAAATGTAAGTTCCTCAAATGATTCTCTCGATCGCTCAAATATGTATGAAACCTCACAAAGGCATTTGGTAGTTTGCCTTCTTTTTCATATCCTACCACTAAGGCTTTTGAGTGGAGTTTTGGGTAGGTATGAAAAGTGGGGCATATTTGCATCACATATTTTGCTAAGCCAAAAACCGGACCTCAAGGAGATGTAAGTCATACACTTTGATCAAGATGGGCAAGTGTGTGGAATTTTCATAGTGTTCCTAATTCTAAATATTTTTGTACTCCTTTGGATCATGACTTTTTCTCTTTTGGATAAATGTCTTTTATTTGAAAGTATGGGCTATCTTTATTTATTTCTTTTCTTTTCTTCATGCTCTTTGGCATGCATTTTTTTCTCTCATGCCTTTTGGCATGGACAATTTTTTCCTTTTCTCTTTTTTAGCATAGCCCATACTATTCTTTTTGGCATATGAAATTTTTTGAGAGAGTGACACATGATAAATGAATGGAGTAATTATTTGGTGGACGAAAAAAGCATGTTTTTGCGTAACTCTCGGTGTAAGAGTTAGCAGTTTATTTGTGGGTGTACGTGTGTCTTGATCATGGGTGCATAATGAGAATCTTAACAAGGGTCACAACAATTTGACAAAGCTCAATGCTCAAACAAGTAGCATATGACTAAGGTTTGAATTTGAATATCATGTCATATAGCCTTGGTAGGTATTCATAATCATTGAGGAACTTTTGATTTTAGCATTTTTTAAGTAAAATCTCTGGATGTCAAGTTTCTCTTAGAACAAAGTCATAGTAAATTCTATTTGTACAATATCATAGCTGCAACAACTTAAAAAAGAAGCATGCTTTTGCAACCCATAAGTTTTCAAGTTTTTAGGATGAGACATTTTTAGCCAACAAACTTAAATCTTGAGGAATACTAAATTATAACCTAGGCACAGATGAATTACAGACAGAGCAACTATTCATTATTTCAACTTAGGAGAAACTAAACATTCCTTAAAACACATATGAGAGTGGAATTCATATTTTTGGTATCTTTATAATATTTTTATTTTTTTAGATTTTTTATATGCTAATAAATAATAAATGTAGAAGATATATGTGAAAATTAAAAATACGAAAAAGCTACAAGGTACCTCTGCGGAGGGTCCTCCCCTAAGCTAGCTCCAGGCCTATGGTCCGGGATTGTATCCCATGGACCGCCAGTAGGCTGCGCCTGTGCTTCCTGTTGTTGTCTTAACAGCGCGTTGATATCCGTGAACTCTTGCTGCTGCTGTAGGTGCCATTGTCTTGTATCCTGCATATGAGTGTTAAGTGTATTTTAAATTTCACCTGTGCGGATTTCCAATCCTCCAAGGCGAGTGTTGATGTCGTCCAACTCCCGTCGGTCCGAAGTAGACTGTCGTGGATGGACGGATGGTGGTAACCCCTCAGAGTCAGACGATTGATGCGCCCATGCTACGTCATCGGCCTCGTGCCATCCCGATCCACCGGCCTCGTGTGGTTGTGGGGTGTGCCCCCAGCCAGGCTGATACCCAAGGGTAAACCCAAGTGTCTGCATGGTCGGGAACCACTCCTTATGGAATGCCTAGGGCACAAGTGGTGTCAGTGTCGGTGGTTGTTGAGAGCTACCAGCTTCGTCCCTAGCCCTGCTCCTTGTTCCCCTACGAGAAACAGAACTCCTGCACGCTTCCTCTTGTTCGACAAGAGTGAAGGTGAGTGACGAGGATTTATACAATGAGAGTTCCGGGTTAGGGAACGCGGGATCTCATATGTATACCCCAAAAAGAAAAATACAAGGTTCCCTACATCATCATACTTCAAATGATGCCCTTGCATCAAGTAGTGCTCATCAATATCAATGCGTGGAGTAGAGATGTATGCCACATCTTGTCCATCCAACGCGCTAATATTAGCGGCAATACGAGTCACAAGGGACATGCAAGAGATAGATGTAAAAGCCTTGAATGTTTCTAACCAATGTTTAAACATTTCTTTCATAGGAGCAATTTTAGTCTTTTAAGCATGGCATAGAGAATTTGCAATTCGGCATGATAAACGAATCTTATGTCTTGCCTAGCAAACAAAGTCATGGCAATCCAACGATGCATGAACCTCAAAGTAGGATGACAAATATTCATATTTCGAGATTGAAACTTGCCAACTACGTTTTGACTAGAAATCATTCTCCAAAATTCATGGCGATTAAAACCTTTGAGAGAATGATCTAAGTCAATTGAGCATTTTGTACTAAAGCCTAAGTGAGAGCTGAGATTTCTCCATGTAAGATAGTATTCTTTAAAAAAAGATAGAAAGTAATCCCACCCTCAACTTCTTGCAAAGAGCATAAGAATTGGATTGTTAAGAGGCGAGAACCAAGCTCATCGACGGGAGCAATGTTCTCCCATCCAACGGCTTTCCAGATGGTGGCGAATTCGGTGTCCATACCTATCCATTGGAGGAGGTCGGGGTCATATGCCGGCATGTGGATGAACTCGTGATTCTTGATGAGGTTGTATGCTTGCATCTCCTAGTCTCCCTCCAAATCAAGGTGTGGATCATCGTCGTCTTCCTCCATCGGTTGCTCTTGCTCTTGCTCTTGCTCTTCTTCTTCTGTTGGCACCGTTTCTTTGTCTTCAAGCATCGGACTCCCTTTGGGCTCGGTGTAGCACGCGCTTGAGCTTTCACGGGAGCGACTTGAGCTCGCTCCCACAACCTTCTTGAAAGCATCGGTGAGCTTCCTTCTGAACTTGCCCATGGCGAAAAAGACAACAACACAAACTTGCAAATAGGGTTACGTTAGTGAAAATAAATCAAACAACCCGCGAGCTTGGCTTGGTGGTGATGAGCTTAGGAAACCACTACAGTGTTTCCTTGCACTTGAGCTTTGTGGAAATTTTTTTTGCAAGTGGTGGAGCAAGTGCGAGTGAGAGGGAGTGAAAAATGGAGAGTGCGAGGGTGAGGGGAGCTCGACCCGAGCTTTCGGCTTTTATAAATGCGAAGCACCAGCTGAAGGGGATGGGAGAAACGACTAGGAGTCGTTGGAGGAGAGGGGGCCGCAGCAGCATCGGGCAGGGTGCGGCTGCACCAAAGGTGGGCCCACTTAGTCCCCCCTTTGTTGGCTGCTTCCAACAGCCATTTTGAACTCATGACCGTTGGTGCTCTCCTCTGTTTTGAAATTTTTGCTGCGAAATTGATTTTTCCACAAAACTTTTATTATATTTTGGATTTTCATAAATATTT